GGTAACTTGGAATTGAAGTTTCATTGCAAGTCAGAATTTGAATTTCATGTTACAACCTCTAAACCTTAAATTAGCATGCGTTTTGGGTCTAAACATGATTAGCCAACTTTCCCAAGTGGATTAGCGCATCAAAACGCAAGAATTGGATGAGTTTTGGTGAAGTTTAGATCACACTTCACTCGTGCATCAGGTTTGCATGAATTCCCTCCAAAACGCATCATTCACTCTTCCTTTTGATCCCATTGGCTTCTCCTATAAATACATGAACTATCTCATTCATTTTCTCAAGCTTGGATAGCCAGAATCACCCTGCCAAACTTGTTTCATAACTCAGAATTTAGTAACTTCAAAATCCATTCTCGAGCCTTTTTAAATCCAATTTTTCCATCAATTCACCTTCCTTGATCTTCCCTGAAGCTAACCACATAATTACATTCAAGAATCGTGCCCTATATTGCTCCATAGAAGTCCAGTTTCAGAGCTGTGCAACTCAACTTCAATAGGTAGATTCCTTCATCAATTCTTCAAAACTCTGATATCATTGTGTTGCACTCATTGCCCTGGTTCTAGTCGCAACACTTACCTTTTACTGGAAAAACGTTTTGACCATGAAATTTCAAATCCCTTTTCAAAATTTTCCTTCCAAATTGCTTGTGCTACAGTTTATATAAATTTGGCGCGAGGGTGTGGTTGTCTTCGTCTTGAAGAGACGAAGCGAATGACATAGGTCTGAGTTTCTAATTTTACAATTTGAGAGACCTGAAATTCGTGTTGGCTGGAGGTTGAAGATGACCAACGTATCATCTTCCAACCAATGAAGGCGCGCCATCTGTTTTTTTTAAATCTGATTTAATTAATGATTATGTACATTATTCACTAATGAACATGATATGCACAGCGCGCCAAATCCCTTGGATTTGATTACTAATGTGTTTTGACTCTCATCCAATGGTCCACATATTTTACTTTTATTTTCTTTTTCTGATTTTTATATTTTAATTGTTTTAAATTTCAAAAAATCATAGAAAATTCATTTTCAGTCCAAAAAATCTGAAAAAATTATGAAAAATATTTTTGATTATTCTCTTTCTGATTTTTATTTTTTAACAATTTAATTTTGTGTTTTGGTATTTTTTTTATATATTTACACTTTATTTGATTTGTTTTAAATGTTTAAAAACACTTTTATACATTTTTAAATTCTGAAAAAATTATGGAATGATCCAATGATATTGTGACAAATATTGGTGACCTTATTTCATTTTTGTTTCTGACTTTACTATTTTTTATCATTTTTTGTTTATTTTACCTATTTATTTTAATTTTAAAAATAGTTTCTGACTTTAAAAAATTACCAAAAAATTTGCAAAATTATTTGAGCCATTTTCTGATTTTTCTATGGTCTTACTTTTCATTTCTTAATTAATTTGAACATAGTTGATATTTTTCTCTTTATTTTCTATTTTTAAACATTATTTTTAAACCCTTTTGTGTATATTAAAATGTGATGTTATTTTGTGACTATTTTCTGGCTGATCTATGGTTAGATTTTGGATCATGAACTTTATTAACATCACTGGATCCATGGTGTTGAGTTTAACTCCACAAAAATGGATGAATAATTTTAATAATAGTTTGATTAAAATTTAATTCAAATGTGGTTTGTATATTTTTTTCCCCATCCCTCTTCATCTTATCCCTTTCTTATTGCACTAAATATTGTTGGAGCATGATATCTATATCATGTCTCAAAACAAAAGGTGCATAGATTGATATTGACCGGCTTCAAAATAGGTGCGACTTCTATATAAGTCCACTTACGATTGCTTAACATATCGCTAAATTTTGTCCCGATTCAAATAAATGATCATTTATGGCCCAAACTTATGATTGCAAGCCCAAGTATGTTAATTTGATCTCTTTGATCCAATAACCTTGAGATTCATTGTGTAGAGGCTTTGGTTCTACCAATCCTCTAATAGATCTACAACACCTTTGGTCAACGCGGATCACTTAAACATCGTTGATCATTAAATGACACTTGTGAGAATTCCAAATGGATGATATACTTGACAAAAAGCAAATGCAACTTGTTGTGTGAAGGCTTTGGTTCTACCAATCCTCTAATGAGTTCCAAATGCAAGCTTCAAGATGGTCATCCAACTAACCACTAATTATTGACTTGTTTTACTTTATGCTTTTATTCTTTTTTATGCTTTATGTAACATTTAATTTTAGCATTTAAATTTCATGCCATTTTCATCTTTGCTCATTGTTGCACCCCAAAATTTGCCCTCCTAATTTCTTCTAGTTTGGCTTAGACTATCGCATTCATCTGCATCTGTTCATTAGGTCATTAACATGGCATACATTTCATTCAATATAGCTATGCGGTTCAAAATTCAGTGGTTGTGCGATATCATGGTTTCGCAATGGTTAAGGCGTCCGTATCCAATAAAGGCTGATTTCTTATTTAGGCAGTGAGCAGTGGAATTGGGATTGTGAGTCGTAGTCATGAGAATTTATTTCTTCATTAAAGTTCAAGGGCTATTATCCCTTCAATTTTATCAATGTCAGAGATTAGGATTTACTTCCCTATACCAGGTCAAGAGAATCGGGATTTCTCTTCATTTTTGTCCAGGCTTGGTAGTGGTTCTTCAATGGAGGTTTATCGGACTAAAGTCTCACTTCAAGGCTACATGGAGCACTACCCTCCCCTTGTTGGAGGTTCGTCATCATCTAAGGACTACTTGTTTTATAAGTCGACTTTGTCCAGGATGCCTAAGGGATTGAATCAAAGTTTTCTCCTTTGACAAGCGATTAAGGATTGCTTTGAGTCCAGATATGTCTTGTTAGTTAAGCTATGGGTCAGGAGTTCATTTAGCTCATTTTACCAAATGAAAGGTGGTTGTTTCAAATTCAAGATGACTAGAATTTATGGATTTATTTGGGATTAAGGTTCAATAATTAAACATGCCATGGAAGTATACTAATTTCATTTTCTTACCGAGCGTTGATCGGCTCAAGGGCTCATATATGTTATGAATTCCGTTGGCAAATAATCAAGAAGCATAATTCAAGGTATCGGTTTATGACTCCCTTATGGCCAAGCCAAGCATGTAGAGTGGAAAACCGAATAGCGTATAACATTAGAATTCCACTCATATTTTCATTAGTATATTTTAGGGTATATGTTAATTTGTAACATTATTAACCTAAATTGAAAATAAAAGCCCAACTATTGTAGTTATAACCCTCGAAACTACTACCCCTCTCCTAAACTCTAAAGAACGCCTCTATCTCTCTCTACGGAGTGCGGACCCACTGGAGCATGATGGTAGTCTTAACAGAGCTGTAAAATGCATTTGTTAGCGAAGGAGACAGAAATTCGATGACCAACTCTGCCACATTTCCTCAAGGGGATTTCACGGACATAGATGATGATCCACGTGATGATGAAATTCTTAGACCTCCATCTCTTCTATCTACAGCCAGAAATCTCCATCCATTTTCTCTTCTTGATCCTACACTTGGTAGAAATATATTTTATACTCATCTCGGTTCAATAAACCAGAGGCCATTTGTTACACATCCAAGAGAGGTAAGGGAGATTCCAATAGAGGTTAAGGATGGTATTCAATCCACTCCTCAAGCTGGCCACACTCCAATCGTTAAAGATGTCACTGGAACTGTTCATGCCCAAGGTTCGGGTACACATGGGAGTGTCGTAATAATTAATGATGATGATGACGACGATACTCCACCTGCTCCGACTCATACTTTGCCTGACAGTAGTATAATACCTAGTGCTCCCAACTTTGATAACTTACCAGATAGTGGCAATAACATAGAAGAAGCAATGATTTGTGCAACCATTGAGTCATCCAAACAGAAGGCTGAGGAAAATTACAGCAATCACGAACTTGGAAGACAAGTTAACTTAAGTGAATCTAGGCCTAACGTAAGGCAAACATTTGTGGAGGATCCTGAGCTTGCCCATGTAGTTTCATTGTCCCTGAAGACAACAGAACAAGAAAAAGCACGGCGCGTACAAGAAGGTGATGTTGGAGCACCTTCAGCGGGACCATCTAATGATTGACCTAGAGACTAGCATTCCATCTCATGCAACAAATACAATGATAAGCGAGGACCTTGGACAAATAGAGTAAATTTTGATAGACAAAACAGGCACCTTGACTGAAAATAAGATGATATTCAGAAGATGTTGTATTAATGGAATTTTCTATGGAAATGAGAGTGGAGATGCATTGAAAGATGTAGAGCTCCTTAATGCTGTTTCCAGTGGTTCTCCTGATGCTGTACTATTTCTTACATGGCAATATGTAATACTGTCATACCCACACGAAGCAAAATTGGAGATATCTTGTATAAGGCACAGTCTCAGGATGAAGATGCTCTTGATTAAGCTGCTGCTCAGCCGCATATGATTTTCATCAATAAAAGTGGAAACATTCTTGAAGCCAAGTTCCACACTACTATACTTCAGTATGAAGTCCTGGAGATCTTAGAGTTCACTTCTGATAGGAAAAGAATGTCAGTAGTGTTGAAAGATTGCCAAAATGGAAAGATCCTTCTCCTGTCAAAGGGAGCAGATGGGGCTATTCTTCCATATGCTCGTGCTGGGCAACAAACTCGTCACTTCATTAAAGCTGTGGAACAATATGCTCACTTGGGATTACGTACACTATGTTTGGTTTGGCGCGAGTTAAAGAAAGATGAATATCAAGATCGGTCTTCGATGTTTAAAGAAGCTAGTAGCACTTTGGTTGATAGGGAGTGGAGAGTAGCTGAGGTCTTCCAAAGAATAGAACATGACTTAGAAATCCTTGGTGTTACGGTGATAGAAGATCGCTTACAGGATGGAGTTCCTGAAACAATAGAAACACTAAGGAAAGCTGGAATACATTTTTGGATGCTAACAAGAGACAAACAGAATACTGCAATAACAAAACCCCAAGTAACTGAATGAAACCGTGAAAATGGATCAATCTCAGAACCAGCGATCACTAACAACACCACCACCACCATCGCATTCTGTTCAATTTCACCCTGCTCGAGTACCAATTCTCGATCTCCTCACTCTACTTAGGACTTGGAAGAAACAACCGCAACAAACCCGACGACTCACTCCGCGAACCACCGAACAAAGCACAAAAACGCGTGCATGCTATTAACAGAGAGCTTCCACCACCAAATGAGCAATTCATTTTAGATTTTGAGCAACTTTAGAGCCAGTTTCCGGACCATGAGCAATTACGTTTCGTGGTTGAAGCTGTTCTTATACCATTGGTTGCACAGTGTAGTGGTCATGGGTCGCGATAAGACTTTCTTATTTTTATTTTTCGAAGCTTGAGCTGTATTTGGTGCATTAACTGGGACGCCTTTCTTCCGTCCCTTCTTTCTTCAGTTTCTTCGGCAGAATTACCGGTTGATCAAATGAGTCAGGCAGTGTCAACAATTACCTCTTCTAGCTTATCACAGTCAGGAATGTTGCCTCCTCTAAATACAATTACTAATTCTTCTAATTTTCAGTCTTCAAATCCTGCATCTCCATTGAATTTTGTCCATACTATTGGCTCCCCTGCATAGCCATCGATTGAGCCATCATCTGATATTTCCTCGAGTCAATTACAATCTAAACTAAGAGGCGGACCATCTGTTGAAAATAATGATATCAGTAACAGTAACCTTCGCCAGCTATGTTGCAAAATCATTTTAACTGGTCTGGAGTTCAGTTTAAAACCTGTGACATATGCCAGAATCTTCAACCATATGCTCAATTGGCTGGTGAATTGGAACCAGAGACAACATGGAGTTGATGAATCTGTTATTCTGAAGTCATGGAGACTTGACAAAACTATAATTGCCTGGCCACATAGTTGCTTGGATGTGATCTGGCTTTTAGTTGATGAGGGAAAATGTCGGGTTCCCTTTTATGAATTATTACGTAGTGATTTTCAATTCATAGAAAATATACCTGATGATGAAGCATTATTTACACTTATCTTGGAGATCCGCAGGAGACAAGACATGATGGCTCTGCACATGCAAATGTTAGACCAAAATCTTCATTGCCCTACATTTGGGACTCATCGGATCCTAAACCAGACCACACCTACTATTTCAAATTTAAACGAAGCAATAACGCACCTGCGACTATCACCACTCTCATATTTAAGTGTACTTAAGAGAACCATTGCAAGGAGAGGATATTACATTCAGAAGGGAAGTTTGGACTGGGAGAGAGCTGTACGTTGCATCAGGCATGCTCTCCGTACCACACCTTCACCTGATTGGTGGAGACGAGTACTGGTACTTGCTCCTTGCTACATGCCTTCATTTCAAGGGAGTGCTGCTGGTGCTGTTTTTTCTTCAGAGATGATTTGTGAAGCAGTTATTGATAGAATTGTAGAACTATCCAAATTAACAAATTCAGAGATAAATTGCTGGTAGGACTGGCTTGTCTTCTCTGATATTTTCTATTTTTCTTACGAAAAGTGGGTGCATTGATTTTATTGACTTTGTGGACAAGCTGATGTTGAAACTTTGAGAGCAAAGGTGAAGATGGATGAAGAGACTGTCAAAAGAATTACTAGATTGAATTTGATGTTTCGCATCATGCCTGATATGTCATCAATGGGCATGCCTTCATTTGATGGAAGCACTTCAGACAATTCAGCTGACGCAGCTGTTCCTGTGCAAGACGATCCACATCATCGCTTCTACCAACATACATAACAGAATTTACTAAACAAAATTCTAAATAGCCTATTACAAAATTAACCTGCAAACTGAATTACTAATTCCCATAACCAAATTCCAACAACTTACTAACAACCTCCATAACAAACTTCAACAGAAAATCCCAACTGTTTTAACAATACACAACAAAACCTCCAAACAGAATTCCCAACTAGCATAACCACCTTGTAACGAAATCTCAATCTCACCCTTCAATCCCTAACAAACTCTACCCAAATCAATGGTTCGGATTGATTCTCACTTAACCATTTCCATCTCCCTCAACTACCTATATAATCTAAACTCCCTCCAAGTTTCAAGGGACGAAGTCACTCTCTCTTTTCCAGTTTCAAAACTTCATCATTGTATCAGCTTAAAAACAACTTCTTCCCTCTCCATCATTCACGCTCAATTTTTCTGAACTCTCATAATCTTCAATTTCCCCTCTCTAAACTCCGTCTTCACCTCCACTCTCCATTGTTCGACCTTCAGTCAGTTCTCAAAGCTTCACTTCTCTCTGATTCATCATACACAGTTCATTTTTCTCAACTTGCGATAATCTTCATAATTGTCATCATTTCTGCTCTTCTCCTATCGCCAACGCACGTAACCCCCATACCAAAGAAAAGTGAAGACAGTGATGAGAGGATCAAGACGAAGCAGACAAGATCAAGAAGGACAATAATTGTATTACTTCATCTCTGGATTTCTGAAGCGCTACCAACGTGTCTTCAATAGAGAACGATAAATCCACCATGTAATCTTGATCGGAAGAAATATGGAGCTTAATTTTTGTTGTTAGATTCGGGATAGAGGAAGAAAAATTGACAAAAGCAAGCAAAGGAGTCGAATTCAGAGGGAGACTTTAGGTGGTGTTAACAAGAAAGTTGAATCAGAACAGGGGAGAAGGGATGGAGTCATGGCGGCATCGCCATTGTTGTTTTCGAATGTAGAAGAAAGGCTTTCTGCGTAAAGGAGTTGGAGGGGGCCGTTTACAATAAACGCCGTCGTTTTGGAATTTTTTTCTTTTCTCCTTTTGTTATTATTCATTTATTTAATGGTTATTTCAAATGGTTAAATAAAAAAAAAAAGAGGAGAACTTATTATTATTTTGCCTTTAAGAATTAATTCCTGATTATTCGATTACTCGAAACTGGTAATTCACTTTGCTCGTCAAGATTCGAGTCTTATGCAGGTTTTTATATGGATACGCTCGAGATGCCGATTGTGATTTATTTTCACATTAAAATATGCTTCAATAATCATTCCGAATATGGGATTTCTGACTCTTTTCTTTGTTGATGGTAACAGTTCACGAGATCGTCAAGTATCTTTGCTTTTTCTGCTTTGCTCTACGGGCTAATATCCGTTTGGTATACTTTCTTTCTATTTTTTACCTCGCATTTATCTTGTCCCATAGATCATATGAAGTGTGATAGAATCAGGTTTAGGCTAGTCTCCCTATAACTTTTCTTTCCCTTTTCGCATATGCATTTATAATAACAAAAATTTCTTTTTTTTTTTTACAAACTTCAAAAATACAAAAAAGGAAATTTACTGACAAGAACCATGTCTTGGCTAAGTTTGAGAGATGATAAGCGGGTTTCTTCTCGACCTTATTATTCTCTTATTCTAAGCTTTGGTATGGTTCAAGTCTCAAAGACTCATTTCATGAATAAGTAGAGACATGGCTAAAATCTCTCTCTTGAGATTAACTAGCCATTATCTACAAGCAAAAACACCGACAAATACAAACTCTTTTTGCCTCTGGGTCTTCCTTTCAAACCTTTTTCAAAATAACATGTTAACGCACTTCTGTGCTGACACGTAAGTCTCCAAAGGTCGAGTTGCGGCAGAAGGCGAAATTAATATCATTCATTACAAAAACAAACAAATTCAAACTTTTGTGCGTCCAGGCACATTTCTTTCCAAACTTTTCAAGAGAGCATGTTAGTTCACTTCTGTGCTGACGCGTAAGTCTCCAAAGGTCGAGTTGCGGCAGAAGGAGAAATTAATATTGTTCGGTAAAAAAAATACAAACAAACAAAAACATGTAAGCCGAACTACGGCTGCTCTGATTCCTTAAAAGGGATACGTAGGCATCGGGGTAGGGCCCGAACGAGCACAACTTTTATTTTCCCTACATTCCTTTCCCCTTTATTTTGCATGCATTCCCTCCAGTAGTATAGTAAACAATAAGCATAGATTGAACACACCCATAAGATAGACAACAAGAGTGGATACCATAGAGTACTACGGGCGTGTGGGGTGCTAATACCTTCCCCTCGCGTAACAGACTCTCTTACCCTTATCTCTTGGTCGTTCGACCTTGATTTCACTCTTTTCAGGTTTACTCGATGTTTACCTTTCCTTCCTATGGGATAAAAGACGTTCGATGGCGACTTCATTGTTTTGATGATTTTCAGCCGGTTGTTTCAGCTGGCGACTTCACTGGGGAAGAGGTCAACCAAATGCTGGTCCGTCCCGGAGTCTCTCCTAGCTCTTGTTTTCTATTCTTTGGGTGTTTATTTTTATGCTTTCAGTTTACTCATTTGTACATGTTTATCTGAGCATAAGTTTGCATTGCATTTTATTGCTTTCCATATTTGTTATCTATTATGTTGGACTCTGTTTTCCATGTTGGGTGGGGATATCACTATTGAGGTAAAAGGCCCAGTACCCAGGCCAGAGTGCACTAGGACACTAGGAATAGAGTGGGGGAATGAGGGCTATAGGACATGGTCCGATTAGTGCAGTCTTGTCATATACCACGCTCGGATGAGGTTCAAATGAATTACTATCGGAACCCACGTCTGTGGGTAAGCCCATAGCACTTTCAGGAGGACCCGTGATTTTCAAGTTACCATTGTCTTACCCTGACCTAGTCTTCACCCGTGAGTGGGGAGGGAATCTTATCACAGGTATATTTGGTGACTATGTTCAAATGGTTACTTGTGCTCAGATGGTGATTATGTTCAGATGGTTACCCATGCTCAGATAGAGACTGTGATCAGACAACGACTATTGGTTCTAATGATCATGTTCTGGACTTCTGTCAATGACTTATGCATATGGTATTCTGTTGGTGACTATTTGGTTCTCAGATTTATTTTCTGAGCTCCTGACTTGTATACTTGGAAGTTCATTCGAGCCCTTTGATCTTGGCATTCCCAGCGCATTCAGAAAATGCTCAACATTATCTGATATTCCAGAAGCCTTGACCCTGTACAATGGGTTATCTACATAGTACTTGGATCTTATATACGCGGAAGCCACGCTAGACCTCTAATCTGATAATACTCATATGGTTCAGAACAGCGCAACAATCATACCCAGAAATGATGGAACCTTGATCTCATTTGATCTCATATCTGTGCATACATAACATGGTTAACCACATACTTAACATACATGTTCTGTGATTTCCAAGGAATCGTATTTGTAAGCCTTGTGCCAAACTTTTCCATCTTTTACTTACGTAAAATCAAAATCAAAGCACGTAAATTCCTTGGGAATGAAGGGACATAACATGGCATCTATTCATGCACTCCATGCATATTCATGCATCTATAACAGGTACTCAAAGATTGGGGATTCTTATTCAGACATGGTTCTCATTGGAGGATTAGCTTTGATTTCTTACTACACTTGTTCAGGGATCGGTTATGGAATAGCTTTGAGTGATATACATGCAAGCTTTGGCCCGTAGTCAAAAATATCTTCAAGCAGGAAGATAATTGATTGAAAACTCAGATGAGATAGGTCATGAAAGCTCTGATGATGATGTCAACAATCTTGCACTACTGTCACAGTAAAGGTTCTCTCTTCTCCTCATCTTTTGGGAATTGCTTCCAACCATGGAGTTCTACGCAATCCTGAGTTCTTGGAACATCTTATCAGCAGATGCTTCCCATTTTACCATAGGATCTTATATCAATGCTTCGTTCTTATTGACCAACATCAGATATGGTTGCCACACCGGGGCATCAAACTTTTTAATCAGGGGCATCCTCCATAACTTCGTGTTCCCTAATTTGTTCAACAAGAGCCGGTCTTTATTCCCCAAGTGAATTCATGGGGAAAGCTTTTAAGCCAAGACACAAGAACCCTTATGAGCATGCTAATGCGAGCCCAAGGCATTATATCCTATTATTCCCAGTTCTTCCCAGCTCTGATCTTTGAGGTCTTCCTCCCACAAACATCTCTTCTGATTACAATATGAATGCTAGACGCATCCCCTATTTTGGGGTACACGATTTTGATATTGAAGACTACAAAGCGGTTATAAAAGCCCAACACCTGTTTGGCGTCTCTTCCAAACTCTCTTTCACCAGGTGGATGTCTCTTTTGTTTTGATAGAAGACAGACTATATTAGTTTTTTGTGGCGTAGTATGCCTGATGATGCAGTTTTCACTTGAAAAAGCATTCAGTTGTTCTCCTGAAAGAATCTTCTACGCATATTTTTCTTGGGCAATTGATCATTCGATTAAAGATGGTACGTTATCTAGAGACAAGGCCCAAGACGAGATCAATCCGGAGACTATAGTGTCCAAATCATATCAAGGGGAGAATTTTCTCACTCACGCATCTTCATGCATCTTCATGCATCCATGGCAGGTACTCAGAAGATTCAAGTTATGAAAAGAATCAGATGGGGCTGTTTATTGGGGATATGCAAACGGTGGCCTGTAGTCACAAATCCTCAAGGAGAAATAGCCAGTTGAAGACCTAGTTGAGTCGAGTATGGAAGTTTTGAAGACAGTGTCGGCAAAGAAAAGTGATCTTGTTTACGTTGTTGCAACAGGAGTTGTCATTCATCCCCAGCCTATGGAACCTTTTTTTTCAAGTCATGAAATACTTTATGGGTCTGGTCTCACCCAGAGCTTCGTATTCTCGGATTTCCTTGCTAGCAGCTAGTTTCTGGTCTCCAAGTGGACCCATGGGGTAAAACTTACCAGCAGAGACAAAGAAAGCTTGAGAGGCAGGTTGATAAAATCTCTATACCTTGTATCCAGTTACTTCCTTGTATGTTGGAAGCTCAGTTGATTAAGCTTCGTGCTTTGGGCCATCCTCCAACAAATTTCTCTCCTGATTTCGATACAAATGCTAGACGTGTCTCCCACTCTGGGGCACTTAGTTAGGATATTGAATACTGCAAGGGGTTGAAGTATGAAGTTTGGTACTTGTTTGGATTCTTTTCCAAGGTTCAGTCCATGTTTGGAGAACCATTTCAGGCTCTTTTTTTTTCCTCAGCTGGATGCTTCTTATGTGTAAGTATAAGATGGGGTGATGCTTCTGTGATGAAGAAGTATAAGAGTTCTTAGATATCTGTTGTTGTGTAGAATAAAAATACCTCAAAAGTCGAATGATATATCCAGAGTTTAGTTTCTTCTGTGTAGTAGAAGATTCTTCGTTACAGTTTCTGAATTTTGCTTCTATGTAGTAGAAGACAGAGACTCTTTTGTGTAGTGGGAGACACTCCGGAATTCAGCGGCTGGATTTCTCTTCTGTGTGATAGAAGATGGTTGGCATTTCTTCTCTATGATAGAAGATACTTTGTGATGCAATTTATGCAAGTTCACTTGATAAGGTCCTCATCACACATGGTGAAGAAATTTGATGTGATTACCATATTGGGACAATAGGCCATTCCATTGAAGATTGTTGGGCTTTTAAAGAAAATATGCAAGACCTTCCAGATGCAAAGGCTATTAATTTCAGGCTAGCCAGTCAGATTTGGAGTCTATGTTGACTCAGTAGATATCAAGATTGGCGGATCATCGTTTGAAGCAAAAATTCCATACGGAGACTAGTCTCCTCAACATGGCATTTTCAAATTACATTTGCATTCTCATTCGTAATCTTTCTTGTCTTGGTTCAGTACTTTCTTATATGCGAAACTTTCTTATTATTGAATATTAATTATAATGCATTGAGTATGTTTGTTTTGAATTAGTCCATTCGTATTCACT